TATGCAAATCAATTAATAAAATTCCACAAGAGCAAGGATAAGAACCACATGACTATCTGAGTAGATGCAGAGAAAGCATTTGACAAGATCCAACACCCCTTATGATGAACTCTCTGGAAAAGTAGGAATCTACAGAACCTGCCTCAATACAAGAAAGGCTGTATATAACAAATATATAACCAACATTATACTAAATGGTGAAAAGTTCAAGGCATTTCCTCTAAATTCAGGAAGGAGATAAGGATGTCCATTGTTTCCACGCCTCTTCAACCTAGTATTAGAATGCTTAGATCATGGGTCTCAAGCAAGAAAGTTCAGGGATAGTGTCCATGTCCTGCAGCTGTGCCCAGATCCTGAGGATTTGCATGTGCCCCCACACAGCTAACTGCCTGAACCCTTCTTCATGGTCTGCTCACACCCTGTGCAGCAGTCAGTCCCAGTCAGCACACAGTATGAGTGAGCCCCGGTGTTCAGCTCAGGGGATACTGCTGCTCTGACCAAAAGATAAAGAAGGAGAAAGCTAGGAATTTATTGAGCCCAGGGTTAGCAGAGATGCCTCACTCCTCATGGAAACTCCAAGAAAATAATTAATTCTGTGAATATTTGATGCCTGTATTCAATATCAGGTGCCTGATGTGACATCCCCATTTCCCAGTGTCCATCCTCTCTGTGTGCATCTGTAGGAGACAGTCTCCATCACTTGCAGATCCAATCAGGGATTAATGATGATTCTCAGTGGCATCACCAGAAACAAGGTGATGCTTTAAACTATTGATTTATTAGTCATCCAATTTACAGTCTGGGGTGACATCCAGATTTAGTGGCAATGGATGGGGAAGAGAGTCTACTTTCACTATCAGCATCCTGCAGTCTAAAGATATTGCAACTTACTGCTGTCAACTGTGTAATAAATAGTTCAACTCCCACAGTGATGCAAGACCAAATATAAACCTCCCTGGGGTGGGGGGGAGCAAATTTGAGAGTCTGGAATGACCCAGCTACTCCTTCTGGTGCCTCTGCCTGCTGACAGTGCATCTCAGCCACAGCCAGGCTCTGAAGGTCACTGGGGGATTTGGTAGAGGGGCTCATTGACAACCTTCTCAATCTTGTCTGTCTTCCATCAGCCTCAGGAGAACCAACCAGATAATGCTTCTGGTGTCTTATAAAAAAAACACAGATCTGTCCTTCTGAGCCTCTGAAACATGGTATCCAGGTAGATATAATTTGCAGTTTGTCACACAAGAGGCCTTTGCCCGCCTTGTGCTCCCTTTACACTGCTGCACCCACCTGCTAATTTGCATAGTGCTCCCTAAGGAGGACTTTCCCTTTTGAGTCTGAGATGAAGGCTCAGCTTGCCCTTGTCTTGTCCTATCAGGGCTCTTAAAAAGAATTCTTTTAGTAAGCTCCTGGGCTGCTAATGCTCTGGCTCACTGGTAAGGACAGAGGGAGATGGACAATGAAATCATGTAAATCGCAAGGAAATGAAAGGAACTAAGTCATCATATTGAGAGACATATGCAAAAGCAAAATAGTGTTCGGTCCTACTCACTTGTGGATTCTAGACTTAAATGGTGGTAGTGATGATGGTGGTGATGGTGATGATGACCCTGATGATAAGAGTAATAGTAATAATAATAACAGATATAATAATAATAATAAGACATGAATGCTAAAATGGAAAATATCTGAAGGGAGACAGTTGATGGTGAAAGAAAGGGACAAAAGCACACTAAGGTTAGAAGAAGAGTTGGGTATATATATAAATATATACATACGTATACTCACATGTGCATTCGAGTTATGAAGTTCCTTTACACAGTATGAAAAATGGTGGGAGTGGGAGAGGAAGAGTATAGCAATAGAAAGGAGGTGGTGAGTTTTTGAAAATAAGCTGCATTCAGGTAGGGATTCTCCTCACAAACTAACCTCCTGTTGTTAATATATGACAATTACAATTTGTCCAACAATAAAATAAGTAAAATGTCATGATTATGCATATAAAACTACTGGGAATCTGCACAACTATTAACAAAGAACGGTAAAACTCCAAATGAAAACTTGTCAGCTGCTATGCCATAAAAAGGCAACTGGATGGCAAACAAATCTCACAAAGAAAAACCATTTGTCAGTAGGAGCTTGAAGCCAGGGAGTTCCATCTCAGGCTTTCATGGCACACATGGCATGTAGGACCATGTTTACAGAGGGGATTTTGTCTCCCCACGTCCACTTTGTAAACTGTAATCAAACCTGACAAGGATGACACACAGTTTCTTCTAGTGAAGTCATTAAGGACAGGTCAGAAAGGTTAGGGAAGGAGGGTGGACCCTGCAGATATGCAGCCCTGAAGGGAACATGTGCACACACCCTGTCCAGCTGTGGGAGGTGAGAGGGGGCTGCAGTGTCAGTGCTGTCCCCAGCAGTTCCCAAGGGTCCTCTGCAGTGATCAGGCCACTGATTGTCCTTAAAGGCACAGACGGTGTCCTGAGCTTCATGATGTCAGACTAGAAATATAACTGCTCATTGTTCCTAGCATTCTTTATCAGTGTCAGAATTTAAAATGCTGAGTTAGACACTTAGAATTATATCAATTAATGTTTTAGTTTAATAGGTAATTTAGTACGTATAAACAATAGATATATAAATTCTACATTCATTTGTGAAATGCTCCTCCCTATTCTGAGAGGAATAGACTTTTTCTTTGGAACCAGGACTCACTCAGGTCCACAGTTCAGACCATTAACACCTTTCTTTCTGTATGCTCTTTCTTCTTCCAGGAAGATCCACAGAAATGTTTTCTTATGTCCTGATTGGTCACCATCGTTTTCCTTGGTTTTCAGCCTCATTTCTCAGCCAGCTGGCTACATTCCTCACACCTCAGGGCAGTGTAAGCCTACCAGCAGCTCTGATATGAGCCTAGTATTCCAAGTCTTCCATGTATTTCAGTACCTGAATTCTGTGCAGATTTCAAATTCACAAGTCCCATACCACATGTCCACACATGGTGAAGGCAGCCCTATAGTGTGGATCTGGAGAATATAATGTGTTATTCCCATTGCCTGGCTGATTTTAACCACACTCAAATAGATACTCTTGTGCATGTTGTGCAGTGCATGTTAGAGACACCAAATCCTCCCAACAAGGGCAGTAGGAGCTATTCATGGGACCATGTGAGAAGATTAGAAGTGAAATTTAACATCAGTTAAGGAGGTGAGCATATCTTTTAGGGAAGCTTATAAATCATCATCAAAATAGGAAAAAAAGAGCATTGTAGAAGAATTATGTGAGCATGTGGTGCAGAGATCAATAGTTTTAGAAGATGGAGGTCATCAAATCCAGACTCAGATGGAGTTCTGGTAGTAAATCCTACTGAAGAAAACACTGATTGGGTAATGAGTTACTCATGGTCTATTGGCTTTTGAAGAGCAGTGTAATGTTTACACATCATCTACATAGACGTCCAGTGGTAAATACCATGTGATCACCCTGTTCATCTAACTCTGGTATGACAATCTATACAATGGGATGAAGTATGTTCACATTATAATCTGTATGGGGGAACCTTCTTCACTTCACTTTGGTTTCACTGTCTGGATTTCCCAGGTTAAATATCTTCTTTGCAAACTGGGTGGTCCCAGTTTCTCAACCCCACCCTTGACCACATTGCAATTTATCATTTCTGTACCTATATGAATCACATCTCCTAAATACAACTTGTGAAAACTGCTTTATTGGTGGTCATGCCTATGATAATAGCTACAGAGGAGGCTGAGATATCACGATTAGGGTTGGAAGTCACCTTGGACATAAAAGACTATGAGTCTCTGTCACCAGTTGAACACCAAAAGGTTGGAAGTGAAGCTGTGACTCATTTGGCACACTACCAGCCTTGAGCACAAAAGCTCAGGGACTAAGTCAAGCCCCAGGCTTAGTACAGAAAATACTGTTTGACTTAGGACCTCAAAGACATGTAACTTGAAGGACTGCAGCTTAAGGAGCATAATGAAGTTAAAGTAGAGTTGAGTCCTCGGTCTAGAGAACAACTCAGCTTCTGAGAAAGAAGAGTTTCCATTAACAGATGAAACAAATGTCCTCTAAAAGTTCAGAAATATGTGGCACACACATGCATAATACCCACAAAGCTAGATAAGATTCAAGGTATTTTTCTAAAACTAAAGAAGAAATTCCTGAGGTGAACTGTTCTAGAGGGAGGAGATAGGGAAGAACATTCAGAAGGGAAGCAATCCAGTCATTTATATGAATTCACAAGACACCAATGAATGCACCAACGGAGTGTCCATATACCTCTGATCATGACACTTTATTGCACATATTATATTTTTCAGTGCTACCTTCCATTAAAAACTTTGAAAACTGTTCATTTCTCTCTTTCTATCAGTGCAGCTATCTGTCTTTCTACCTACACATGTATTATTACTTTTATAACCCACATATCTGTGTACTAATGTTCACTATTAAACCATATAACAAGGTTCAGGCAAACAACCTGAATACTCTCAGGAATTCTGTGTCACAAACTCCACTGATACCAGAGTTAGGGGCATTCTAAAATTAATTTTCCTTGGAAATGTTTGTGTTTGAGTGACTGATTTAAGTGAACAAAATCATATCAATTCATGCATAAGTTGAAAATGTTAAAAATTATATTTGGGGTTGGGAATTGAGCTCAGTGGAAGAGTGCTTACCTGGAAAGTACAAGGCCCTCAGTTCAGTCCTCAGCCCTGGGAAAAAATCTATTCTTATCACAGGCCAACAGAATCACAATGTTTTCTTGTCTCTAGAAACACATTATCTACAAGCACATTGGACATCTGGGTTCTTCAGGTCTGTGCTTTGTCACTGAGATCTGCCAGCTGAAGCTCTGACTCATACTGCCCAAACCATGTTGATTTGCATGTGCCCAGAGTACAGCCCACTACACTGGGAACTTCTTCATAGGCTGCTCACACTCTGTGCAGAAGAAGTTCCAGTCAGCACACAGCATGGACATGAGGGCCTCTGGTCAGCTCCTGGGGCTCCTGCTGCTCTGGATTGCAAGTAAGGAAAGATGATACTGGGGATTATTCATCCAGTGTTCAGCTGAGCTACCTGGCTGTTCATGGAAGTACTTGTACAGCAGAATTAATTAAACTGCTAAGGGCTTTTATGTTTCCAATGTCAGGTGCCAGATGTGACATCCAGTTGACCTATCTACCATCCCTGTCATCACCTCTGGGAGACAGAGTCACCATCACTTGCAGAGCCAGTCAGAGCATTAGCAATCATTTACATTGGTACCAGCAGAGAGCAGGGAAAGCTCCAGAGCTCCTGACCCGTTATGCAACTATTTTGCAATCGGGATTCCCACCAAGGTTCACTGGCAGTGGATCTGGGACAGAGTTCGCTCTCGCCATCAGCAGCCTGCAGCCTGAAGATGTACAACTTATTTCTTCAACAGAATCATAATTTTCCTTCCACAGCGATACAAGTCATAACAAAAGCAGAAGTGAGAGGCTGGGCTGCCTCAGCTGCTCCTCTTGGGGCCTCTACCTGCACAACTGCCTCTACTCTACACAACTTCTCAGATGCAGCCAAACGTTAAGGTCAGTGGAGAGAGAGAGGTCATGGAGGCATTTGCACACCCTAACTCTCTGTCCTCCTCCTCATCCCAAGCAGCACACACCTTACAATGACTATTCTGACTTTAAAATTCACTGATCTATACTCATGTTTCACTTACATTGTGCTAACAATTTGCAGCCACCCAAAAGAAAGAGCCATTTTAGGTATATCAAACCAAGTTTTTAAAAGTAAGTCAAGAGAGCTTTAGAAAGGAGTTTGTTTTTAGATTATAAAAAAATTCATCATCAAGTCTTGAAACTTAAAGCAGATTTCTTGATTAAAATGGAAAATTTCCAGTTCATTGAGAGATACATCCATGAGTTACCATATATATGCATATATACACAGATATGTATGTGAATACATATATACATATATATATGAATTTTTATATAATATCCAGTAGCAAAACACAAAATAACAAATTTACCCAATCCCTGTTACAGCCATGGTCTGATTTGTAACATATTTCATTTAGCTGCCAAGGGCTCTGAGGATACCGAGCAGAGCATATCTTCTGAGACCCCACTCAGCTGAGCCTACAGCCACAAAGCTCTCCCCTTGCAGGCCTGTGTTGGTCAGTGGTGGGGCTTGTACTCTGGGCCTGAACTCTGACCCTCAGCTCTTCAGCTCAAGGCGAGCGCTCTCCCACTTGAGCTACAATGCCACTTCCAGTTTTCTAGTGGTTTTTATTGGAGATTAGAATCTCCCAGACTTTCCTTCCCAGGCTGGTTTTGGACTGTGATCCTCAGATCTCACCTCCTGAGTAGCTAGGATTTTAGCCTTGAGTCACTGGCACCCAGCTAAGAAGCAGTTTTCACTGTATTTGATGATGGTATATTTTGTGGAGTGGAAGGGAAAAAGCATTTTGTTTAAATAGGGATACAGGTTGATCCATTGCAACAATGTACAAGATGCTTTGTGGAAAAATAAACTTTACAATTTTGGTGAGCGTGGGGTGGGGATGTGGTAGGAGAGGGGGGAGTACAGTTGTGGAGATGGGAAGGAAGGGATAGTCGGGGAAAACAAAGGAGGAGGCAACAATGCTTGATAAGAAATGTACTCATCCTCTTGCTGCTCTTTCTAGCTCTCTCTGCTCTCTCTCTGCTCTCTCTGCTCTTTTCTAGCTCTTTCCTCTCTCTTTCCTTTCTCTCCCAGCTCTCTCTCATTCCCAGGCCTTTCCCAGCCACGTGGAGTGCCAACCTTGCCTGGTCCCAGCAGGTCTACTGAATAAACCTACCCCTTATCTGAATACCATGTGCGTGCTGCTGTTCTTACTCAGCTACCTCTGAGGAAAAACCTAACAGTCTCAGACATATACTAGTTATTGTAAATAAGGGAATCCATGGAACCTAGGTTTCTTTGGGCTTGGCTTACTTCACTTAATATAATTTTTTCCATGTCTTTACATTTCCTAGCAAATGGGGCAATGTCATTCTTTCTGATGGAGGCATAGAATTCCATTGTGTATACATACCACATTTTCTTGATTCATTCATCTACTGAGGGGCATCTGGGTTGGTTCCATATCTTAGCTATAGTAAATAATGCTACAATATACATAGTTGTGCTGGTGGCTTTAGTATGGTCTTGTTTGTGATCATTTGAGTAAATGCCCAAAAGTGGGATTGCTGGGTCATAGGGGAGCTCTATGTGGAGTCTTTTGAGGAACCTCCATACTACTTTCCAAAGTGGTTGAACAAGTTTACACTCCCACTTCCAGTGGTGATTGCCTAAGTCCCAGAGCTAACTCTCACTGGAATGCTTGATGTCATTTTCTCATTCCTTGACCAATCGCTCAGTTTGGAGGAGTGGAATGTGATGATTGTCTGATTTGTGATCTATGCTCATATAGTTCTGAGAGGTGGGGTTCACACCACATGTATCACACAAACTGGGAGTAGGGTTTGGACCCTGTTAGTAGAAAGATTCTAGGCAGGTGAAAAACAATTGGAGTACTTTCCAAATGTCGTGAACTGTAGAATCCCTTTGTTGTTGAGATTTCTACACAGAACAGAGCAACCCTAAGTGAACTGATCCCAAGTATCTAATCCCTATAATATTCATAATCATGTGCTGAGGTTCTTAATTAATTTTGCTGAAGTTATTTGTAAACAAGGTTGGAAGATGTGCTGCCCTGCCTGATTCTTGACCCCCCCACCCCCATCCCCTCCCTGCAAGTTTTGCCATATTGACAACCACAGAGTATAAAATTCTTAGCAACAACAACACAAAAAGAAATGTACTCATTACCTTGTTTATGTGATTGTAACCCCTCTGTACAGTATTTTCACAATAAAAACTTATTTTTAAAAAAAGAAGTTGTTTGGAGACAGTGAAAAGAAAAAATAAGCAGAAATAGGAAAGGAATAAGAAGGAAGCCTCTATCAGTCAACTGACCTAACCTCTGAATAATGTTTAACTCAGTTTTAGATATAGAGAATTCTAGATGCAGTAGTCTCATCTGCCTCTACTCAGGTGAGGCCTGTCCTGTCTGTTGAACATTATGGTATATTAATATAAAGAGAACAAGCTGGGCTCTGGTGGCTCATGCCTGTAATCCTAGATACTCAGAAAGTTGAGATCTGAGGTTCGAGGTTCAAATCCAGCCTTGGCAGGAAGAACATAAGAGTCTTATCTCCAATAAACCACCAGAAAACTGGAAGTGTCACTGTAGCTCAAGTGATAGAGCACTCTCTTTGAGCTGAAGAGCTGAGGGACAGTGCCCAGGCCCAGAGTTCAAGCGCCATGACCAAATAAACAGAAAAACAAATAAAAATAAAAATAAGCTGCAATTAAAAGAGTTTAAACATATGGTTTATAACAAGCAACTACCGTGAGAACTGACTCACTCCATGAGAGGAGATATAACTTTTCTGAGAACAGGACCTCCAATGAATTAATCACTTCACACAAGGAAGCCCTTCAGTTGACCATGTGGGGTCTTCTGGAGCAGCACCAACTTCCTTCTCGAGGTGTTCCTTCTTACCATGTGATGTTCTGCCACATGACAGAGCAGAATCCTTGGAGACAAGAAGTAGGGACTGAACTCTCTGTGACAAATAAGCAGAGACTGGTTAATTCAGATTGGGAATGGAGACATTAAAAGATTTTATGTTAATTTAAGATAACCAGAATTATATACCTATATTTGTCTTTATATAATTTTAAAAAGGGGGGTTAATAACATCATGGTATAGGAGTGGAATACATCTTGATCACATTTTCCCTTTACTCTCTAGAGGGAAGATTTAAGAAATTCTATGACCTATTTATTGTGCAAATACAGTGTGGAAGATTATCAGGATAGATAAAGGATTTTAAAACTCATTACATTGAATATATAGTGACACTTTGAAGTAAAACTTTATAACATTTTTCTTTTATCCGTTTTAATTTTATTCTTTTGTAAAGGTACTGTACAGAAGGGTTACAGTTACATAAGTAGGGTAATGAGAACATTTCTTGTCAAATATTGTTACCCATTCCTTACTCTCCTACTATCCCTCCACCCAACCCACCCACCCCGAAGTTATAAAGTTCATTTCCATCATAGTGTCCTGTGAGTATCACTGTTGCATTGGTCACCCTTTGTCCTTGTTTCACCATTTTGTTATTCTCCTTCTCTTCTCAAGTCATAGAAACGTGTATAAAAGATGCATGGTACCAGAATATAAACAGTGACTACAGGGGATAAGCCAAAGGGAAATTTAAAAAGATATAATAAAAAGAAGGAACTTGATAGAGTATAGAGACCACAACAAAGACAACAAAAAAGACATCTTGTTTCTATATCTTGGAGTTCATGTGGATTAGCATCATTTTATATGGTGATGTGTACATAGCTATTGATCTATTGTGATTGTCTGCAAGGACAATACTAGACATATACTAATTATGACAAATGAAGGAAACTATGGAGCCTATGTTTCTTTGGGTCTACTTACTTCACTTAATATGGTTTATTCTAAGTCTCCATTTTCTTGCAAAAGGATTTCTAGGGTTCCTTTACCCTGATGAAAACATTCTAAATAAAGATCTACAAACACAATGAGTCAAAGAAGGGATGGATAAATGGTATCAAATTAAGCTGCAGAACTTCTGCATGGCAAATGCCATAGCCAGCAAGATAAATAGAAAGCACACAGACTGGGAGAAGATATTCACTAGCTATAAAACAGACAAGGCTTCATATCAAACATATAACTAAAGTTCAATAAACACCCCTCCAAAAAATCCTCAAAGAAATAGCCAGACCATTAATAATTGGGCTAAAGAAGTAAGAGTCTATTCTGGAGAGCAAATAAGAATGGCCAATAGACACTTGAATAAATGTTCATCATCTCTGGCCATAAGAGAGATTCAATTCACAACTACACTGAGATTCCACCACACCACAGTTACAATGGCCATTATTAAGAAAACAAATAAATGTTAGAAACAATTGCAACTGTGGAGGGAAATGGAAAAATATGTTTAAATAGGGGTACAGGTGGATCCATTGCAACAATAAGATGTACAAACATTATACTGAAAAATGAACCTTATAACTTTGACGTGGACGGCGGGATGTGGCAGGGGAAGATGGGAAGGGATGGAAAGGGGAAACAAAGGAGGAGGCAACAATATTTGATAAGAAATACACTCATTACCTTGCTCATGTAATTGTAACCCCTCTGTATGGTATTTTCACAATAAAAAATAATAATAGATGTTAGTAGGGATGAGGTCAGCTCTTACTCTGTTGGTGGGAACCTCACCTGGTTCAACCACTCTGGAAAGCAGTATGGAGGTTCCTCAAAAGATTAAACAAAGAACTCCCTATAATCCAGCAATCCCACTTC